GTGGGTGCGGATGAGGACCTCACTACTGTAAACTGCTTTGTAATTTCAGATGAGCTAGTAGTAGTAATATGAAAGGGATGAAAGATTTTAATAGGAGTAATTTTTGTGTGTTGTAAATAGAAGGGTAGGCTCAAGCAGGAAGAAACTAAAGATGGCATAAAGAGAATTGACTACTGATGGAACATACCATAGAGGAAACAGAAGCAAATGTAGAACCACTAATAGGAAGGACTGTCCTTAGAACAGGCAAGAAATATGTTACCATTCAAAGTAGAAGAATCTGAAATAAAATAAAAGTAAAGGTCCAATAGAGAAAAATTGAGGGAATTCAAATGGAAAGTCTTCAATTTTTATGAAAATGGAGGCAAGTTCTTCATACCCAGGAAAGGTGGGAAAGATTTCAGGACTAGAGGATAGTAAGAAATATTTTAATTAATCGAGGCAACAGTTGACCGAAAGTTTATTCAATGTTTACTCTAAAATAAGCAGAAAATTCAACAGAGAAGACAGTAAAGAATAAGAATAATCATTATTAGGAACCCAACTGAGGAGAAATAGCATGAACTTTTAATAGATGTCATCAGCATGGTTTCATAATTTTACCCAGCTTCTGAAAAGTGCTTATTAAAGGAAGTTAATGGTCCTGCACAGAGTTGGGCACTGAAACTATGAGAATGACAGGCAAGCATGGAAGAATGAAAAATGGATTCTAGACATCAGTAGAGACAATATTGGCATGGTCTGAATTGAACAATGATGTGACTGAAAACTGAGGGGAATTGAGACTCTAAAGATGTGGTTTGGGTACTAGAAATAAATAACATGCTTATAATCAAAAGGAATGAGGTATGTTTGAGACCCTGAAGTAAAATAGTCAAGCTAATTTCAATCCCTTTCTGCAGTTTCAAAGGTTAAGTAAGGAACTATGAAGCCAAGGTGTCAGATGGGCCAGAAATAAACATAAATGAATATGGCAGAGGATGAGAGGGGTGGAGAAGATAACTGACTAGGCATCAAGACAGTTAGGGTGTTATGATGGAAGTCATAAACACAGCAATAAGGACAGAGCTTAGAGGTCAAGGTTCAAAAATAGAGGTTGATAGAGAACAATAGCAGAAGAAATAACAGTAGAAGAATGCTTTTCAGGTTGATCATGTCTTCAGATGCAAAGTCAGCAGAGAAGGAAGTACATGTAGCAGGAAGGTAAAGGGTTAGTTTAAATAAGATATAAGCATTGCTCCCTGCCCATACTACATTATCACCCTTTTAATCCTTCTAATCCTTAAAATTACCTGTAAGGCATTTTCCCCCATTTTACAAATGAAATATTCTGGTTCTGGAATTTCAATTTTTGCCCTTACTTCAAAATCTAAAGCTTTACAACATACTGACTTTCAATGGTTTTTAAACTGTTACCGCAGTCTTCAAAGACTAACTTGAAATCATGTCTGATATTTGAAATGGATATTAAACACAGTGGTCTTTTTTAAGGTATAGTTTACATATATAACATTATATTAGTTTCAGGAGTACGATATAATGATTCAACATTAAGGTATACTGGGAACTGATCACCACAATAAGTCTAGATAACATCCATCTCTACCCATATTCATAATTTTTTTCTTAAGAACTTTTAAGATCTACTCTATGCAATATAGTATTATTAACTGTGGCTACCATGCCACACTTTGTCCACCTGATACAAAGAACCAAATCATTGGAAAAGACCTTGATGCTGGGAAAGATGGAGGGCAAGAGGAGAAGGGGGCAACAGAGGATGAGATGGTTGGATGACATCACTGACTGATTAGACACAAGTTTGAGGAAACTCAAGGAGATAGTGAAGGATGGGGAAGCCTGGCATGCTGCCATCCTTGGAGTTACAGAGTCAGACATGACTTAATGACTGAACAACAACTACTACCATGCCACACACTACATCGTCAGGACTTTTTAGTTTATAACTAGAAGTTGTGTGTTTTGGCCCATTTCACCCCACACTACTCCCACTCCTGACGACCACTGATCTGTTTTCTGTATCTATGAGCTCCTTATTTTTTTTTAAGATTACATATACAAATGAGATCATATGGTATTGGTCTTTTTCTGGTTTATTTCAGTAAGCATAATGTTCTCAAGGTCTGTCCATGTTGTCCTGAATGGAATGGAAGACTGAGTATCACTTCATGGCAGACAGATGGGGAGCAATGGAAACAGTGACAAACTTTATCTTCTTGGGCTCCAAAATCACTGTGCATGGTGACTGCAGCCATGAAATTAAAAGACGCTCCCTCCTTGGAAGAGAATCTGTGACCAACCTAGACAGCATATTAAAAAGCAGAGACATTACTTTTCTGACAAAGGTCCGTCTATTCAAAGCTATGGTTTTTCCAGTAGTCATGTATGGATGTGTGAGTTGGCCTATAAAGAAAGCTGAGAACCAAAGAATTGATGCTTTTGAACTGTGGTGTTGGAGAAGACTCTTGAGAGTCTGTTGGACAGCAAGGAGATCAAACTAGTCAATCCTAAAGGAAATCGACACCGAATATTCACTGGAAGGACTGATGCTGAAGCTGAAACTCTTTGGCCACCTGATGCGAAGAACTGATTCATTAAAAAGACCCTGATACTGGGAAAGATTGAAGGCAGGAGGAGAAGGGGAAGATGGAGGATGAGATGCGTGGATGGCATCACCAACTTGATGGACACAAGTTTGAACACGCTCTAGGAGTTGGTGATGGACAGGGAAGCCTGGCATACAACAGCCCGTGGGAATGCAAAGAGCTGGACACAACTGAGCAACTGAACTGACAATATATATGTATACACTATGTGTATGTGTGTGTGTGTCTCTGTGCCTGTGTGTGTACACACACACCACATTTTTCTTTATCCATTCATCTATTGACAAACACTTAGGTTGTTTCCACATCTTGGCTATTGAAAATAATGCTGAGGTGAACACGATGGAGCAGATATTTTTTTCAAGTCGGTGTTTTTGTTTGCTCTGGATAAATACCCAGAAGTAGAATTGCTGGGTTGTATGGTAGTTTCATTTTTAAGTTTTTGAAGAATCTTGATACTGTTACAATAGTGCTGCACAAATTTATATACACACCAACAAAGCGCAAGGGTTCTCTCTTGCCAACACTTTGTATTTCTTGTCTTATTGATGATAGTTATTCTGCCAAATATGAGGCAGTATCTCACTGTGGTTTTGATTCGCATATCCTGGATAAATAGTGATGCTGTGCATCTTTTCATGTACTTGTTGCCCATCTGTACCGAAATTGGATTGATTATATTCTTTGCAGCTAAAGACGGAGAAGCTCTATATAGTCAGGAAAAACAAGACCAGGAGCTGATTGTAGCTCAGATCATGAACACCTTATTGCAAAATTTAGGCTTAAATTGAAGAAAGTAGGGAAAACCTGTAGAATATTCAGGTATGACCTAAATCAAATCCCTTAGGATTATACAGTGGGAGTGACAAATAGATTCAAGGGATTATATCTGATAGACAGAGTGCCTGAAGAACTATGGACAGAGGTTCATATCATTGTACAGGAGGTGATAATCAAAATTATCCCCAAGAAGAAGAAATGCAAAAAGGCAAAATGTTTGTCTGAGGAGGCCTTACAAATAGCTGAGAAAAGAAGAGAAGTGAAAGGCAAAAGAGAAAAGGAAAGATATACCCATCTGAATGCAGAGTTCCAAAGAATAGCAAGGAGAGATAAGAAAGCCTTCCTCAGTGATCAATGCAAAGAAATAGAGGAAAACAATAGGATGGGAAAGCCTAGGGATCTCTTCAAGAAAATTAGAGATACCAAGGGAACATTTCAAGCAAAGATGGGCACAATAAAGGACAGAAACAGTATGGGCCTAACAGAAGCAAAAGATATTAAGAAGAGGTGACAAGAATACACGGAAGAACTATAGAAAAGACATCTTACTGATCCAGATAACCACGATGGTGTGATCACTCACCTAGAGCCAGACATCCTGGAGTGCAAAGTNAGAATTTCAGTAAAGTAGCATGTAAGGAATTTAAAAGAGTAGCTTATCTTCTCTAAATACAGACAATTTAATTAAAATAACAATAAAAACAACAGAGTCTTTGTTTACCAGGTGCGAAGAAAATAAGATATAAAATAAGGCCCAAAAGTGCAGTCCAGGAGTATGGAGTAGGGCAGAAATTGTAAGCCCAAAATACTTCTTCTGTTTTGAATTTGGTTTCATTTTCACACCTGAAAAGTAAGGCAAGATAAATATTAACTTAGGGTTTTAGTTTATAGTTGCATAAATTCAATGTCTTATCTAGAATGCATTTGTAAGTTCCTTAGTTTCATTAAGGAAAAGAATCCAAGATGTTTCTCTTGAAAAAAATTTAAAAAGGAGGATTATATATGTAAGCTCACATGAAACTTTTTAGAGCTGAATATAATTCAAGAACAATACATTGTACATACAACTCAGTAACAAAAAAATAATCTGAATGAAAAATGTGTAGAGGATTGGAAGAGACATTTTTCAAAAGAAGACAAACAGATGGTCAGTCAGTTTGTTAGTTTAGCCACTCAGGTTAGTTTAGCCGACTTTTTGCAACCCATGGCCAGAAGCATATGCTTCTGGCCATGGGTTGCAAAAAGTCGGCTAAACTAACCTGAGTGGCTAAACTAACAAACTGACTGACCATCTGTTTGTCTTCTTTTGAAAAATGTCTCTTCCAATCCTCTACACATTTTTCATTCAGATTATTTTTTTGTTACTGAGTTGTATGTACAATGTATTGTTCTTGAATTATATTCAGCTCTAAAAAGTTTCATGTGAGCTTACATATATAATCCTCCTTTTTAAATTTTTTTCAAGAGAAACATCTTGGATTCTTTTCCTTAATGAAACTAAGGAACTTACAAATGCATTCTAGATAATACATTGAATTTATGCAACTATAACCTAAAACCATAAGTTAATATTTATCTTGCCTTACTTTTCAGGTGTGAAAATGAAACCAAATTCAAAACAGAAGAAGTATTTTGGGCTTACAATTTCTGCCCTACTCCATACTCCTGGACTGCACTTTTGGGCCTTATTTTATATCTTATTTTCTTCGCACCTGGTAAACAAAGACTCTGTTGTTTTTATTGTTATTTTAATTAAATTGTCTGTATTTAGAGAAGATAAGCTACTCTTTTAAATTCCTTACATGCTACTTTACTGAAATTCTTCATTTTGTACTTCTCAGGAATGGGACCAATGCCTTGGACTGTGAATTCTGAAATATATCCCCTTTGGGCAAGAAGCACAGGAAATGCATGTTCATCTGGAATAAATTGGATTTTCAATGTTCTGGTTTCATTGACATTTTTACACACAGCAGAGTATCTTACATACTATGGTAAGAGAATATAGTTTCATTTTTATTTTCTACTCTGTTTTTAGATTTGCTGTCATTTGTGATTGAAAAACTAAATGGTTATATTTTTGCTATTACAAGTATCTCTGTAAGGCTGTCTTATTCCCCAGAGCCCTTGGAAATGTTTCTGGGAAAAGATAAGAGGAACGGTCCTTTCCTAAGCAGTATTGCTTCTTTTCCCTCAGTGCTTTACAGCTTTACCCACCCACCTACACTTCAAACCCAAGCATCTCCCAGCTATCCCTCAGTTGGAAGTCTTCACAAGACCTTTAGTTTAGTGGAAAAAACATAAACAACAGAAAAGTGTAGAAAGATCCTGGAGTCTAGGGGTAATGCCTGAAAATGTCTCTTTAACAGGGATGGGGTTGTAGCCAAGAGTAGAATCAAAGTAGGGTCACAGTAGCTCCCCCAGATGTTGCGCTGTGTGTTCTGCCTTCCACCCTATCATATCTGCTGCTCAGACCAAAGTATTTCAGGATCCACTGAGACCCGCACTTCCCACTGCTGAAACTCTAAGTGTTGCAGCGGTGTTCATGTGAAAAATGTAGAGAGACCATAACTCGAAGAAACCAATCTTGAGAAATGACTGAGTTAGGAAAAAACTTTGGGAAGCTACTTCAGGTTTATCTTTACTGGAAGAAAAGTGTCTTTTTAGCAAGATAATTTCTTTATTGTCTGTATGAGTTTATAGGTTGTGATTGGATTCTAAATGATGAAATAGGGATTTTCATGCTAATCTCCTGAGCCTCTGTGATTATATACTGAATGTCTATCTATTGCTTATACCTCCCCCCCCGTTCACCCCCCACTTCATGGATCACATATCCTGGGGAAGGGGCTTGCATGACTCAATGAAGGTATGAGCCATGATGTACAGGGCCACCCAAGATGGACAGTTCATGGTGAAGAGTTCTTAGAAAATGTGGTCCACTAGAGGAGGAGATGGCAAACCACTCCAGCAACCTCGCCTGGAGAACCCCATGTACAATATGAAAAGGCAAAAAGATATGACACCAGAAGAGCCTGCCAGATCAGTGCAGCGGTGTTCATGTGAAAAATGTAGAGAGACCATAACTCGAAGAAACCAATCTTGAGAAATGACTGAGTTAGGAAAAAACTTTGGGAAGCTACTTCAGGTTTATCTTTACTGGAAGAAAAGGTGTCTTTTTAGCAAGATAATTTCTTTATTGTCTGTACGAGTTTATAGGTTGTGATTGGATTCTAAATGATGAAATAGGGATTTTCATGCTAATCTCCTGAGCCTCTGTGATTATATATGAATGTCTGTCTATTGCTTATACCTCCCCCCTGTTCACCCCCCACTTTATGGATCACATATCCTGGGGAAGGGGCTTGCATGACTCAATAAAGGTATGAGCCATGATGTACAGGGCCACCCAAGATGGACAGTTCATGGTGAAGAGTTCTTAGAAAATGTGGTCCAGTAGAGGAGGAGATGGCAAACCACTCCAGCAACCTCGCCTGGAGAACCCCATGTACAATATGAAAAGGCAAAAAGATATGACACCAGAAGAGCCTGCCAGATCAGTGTCCAATATTCTACTGGGGAAGAGCTGAGGACAATTACAAATAGCTCCAGAAAGAATGAAGAGGATGGGCCAAAGTGGAAACACTCAGTTGTAAATGTGTCTAGGGTGAAAGTAATGTTTGATGCTGTAAAGAACAATATTGCATAGGAACCTGGAATGTTAAGTCCATGAATCAAGGAGAACTGAACATGATCCAGAAGAAGATAGCAAGGTTGAACATCAAAATCTTAGGAATCAGGGAACTAAAAGAGAAGAGAATGGGTGAATTTAACTCAGATGAGCATTATATCTATTACTGTGGGCAAGAATCCCATAGAAGAAACGGAGTGGTCCTCGTATTCAACAAAAGAGTCTGAAATGCAGTACTTGTGTGCAGGCTCAAAAAACAACAGAATAATCTTGGTTTCTTTCCAAGGCAAACCATTGAACCTCAGAGTAATCCAAGTCCGTGTGCCAACCACCGATGCCAAAGAAGCTGAAGTTGGTGCTAGTGGTAAAGAACCTGCCTGCCAATGCAAGAGACATAAGAGACTTGGGTTTGATCCCTGGGTCAAGAAGATCCCCTAGAGGAGGAAATGGTAACCCACTCCAGTATTCTTGCCTGGAAAATCCCATGGACAGAGGAGCCTGGCAGGCTATAGTTCATGCGGTTGTAAAGAGTTAGACATGACTGAAGCAACACAGCATGCACACATGCTTGCCCCAACCACTGATGCTGAAGAAGCTGATGTTGATAGGTTCTGTGAAGACTTACAACACCTTCTAGAACTAACACCAAAAAATGATGTCCTTTTCATCTTAGGGAATTGTAATTTAAAAATAGCAAATCAATAGATACCTGGAATAACAGGCAAATTTTGCCCTGGAGTACGAAACGAAGCAGGACAAAGGCTAATAGAGATCTGTTAAGAGAACATGCTGATTATATATACCGAACACCCTTTTCCAACAACACAAGAGACAACTCTACACATGGACATCACCAGATGGTCAGTACCTAAATCAGATTGATTGTGTTCTTTGCAGCCAAAGATGGAGATGCTATATACAGTCAGCAAAAACAAGGCTGGGAGCTGACTGTGGCTCAGATCATGAACCCCTTATTGCCAAATTCATACTTAAATTGAAGAAAGTAGGGGAAACCAATAGACCATTCTGGTTTGACCTAAATCAAATCCCTTATGATTTATACACTGGAAGTGATGAATATTTTTAGTGGACTAGATCTGGTAGAAGAACTATGGACAGGGGTCCGTAACATTGTACAGGAGGTGTTGACCAAAACCATCCAAAAGATAAAGTAATACAAGAAGGCAAAGTGGCTGTCTAAGGAGGCTTTACAAATAGATAAGTAAAGAAGAGAAGTGAAAGGCAAAGGAGAAAAGGAAAGATATACTCAACTGAATGCAGAGTTCCAGAGAATAGCAAGGAGAGATAAGAAGGCTTCAAATGAACAATGCAAGGAGATAGAGGAAATCAATAAAATGGGAAAGACTAGAGATTCTCATCAAGAAAATCGGAGATATCAAGGGAACATTTCATGAAAGAATGGGCACGATAAAGGACAGGAACATTAAGGACTTAACAGAAGCAGAAGATATTAAGAAGAGGTGGCAGAAGTACAAAGAACTATACAAAAAAGTCTTAATGACCAGGATAAACTCTATGACTGGTCGCTCAACTAGAGCGAGACAACCTGGAGTGTGAGAAAGCAAGAGGGCCTAAGGAAACATTACGAGGAACAAAGCTAGTGGAGGTGATGGAATTCCAGCTGAGCAATTTAAAATCATAAAGATGATGCTGTTAAAGTGCTGCACTCAGTATGTCAGCAAATTTGGGAAACTTAGCAGTAGCCACAGGACTGGAAAGGTCAGTTTTCACTCCAGTCCCAAAGAAGTGCAATGCAAAAGAATGTTCAAACTACCATACAGTTGTGCTTCTTTTACATGCTAGCAAGGTAATGCTCAAAATCCTTTGAGCTAGGCTTCAGCAAATCATTAATTGAGAACTTCTAGATGTACAAACTGGATTTCAAAGAGGCAGAGGAACCAGAGATCAAATTGCCAGCATTTGTTGGATCATGGAGAAAGCAAAGAAGTTCCAGAAAAACATCTACTTCTGCTTCATTGACTACACTAAAGTCTATGACTATGTGGCTGACAACAAACTGTGAAAAATTCTTAGAGATGGGAATACCAGCCCACTTTACCTGTCTCTGAGAAAGAAGTCAAGAAGCAATAATTAGAACTGGATTTAGAACCACAGACTGGTTCAAATTTTTTGAAAAGAGTATTGCAAGGCTGAATACTGTCACCCTGCTTATTTAACTTGTATGCAGAGTACACCATGCAGAATGTATGTGAATGAACATTGGGCTGGATGAAGCACAAGCTGGAGTCAAGATTGCCGGGAGAAATATCAACAACCTCAGATATGTAGATAATACTACCCTTATGGCAGAAAGCAAAGAGGAACTAAAGAGCCTCTTGATGAAGGTGAAAGAGGAGAGTGAAAAGACTGACTTGAAACTCAACATTCAAAAACCTAAGATCATAGCATCCAGTCCCATCACTTCATGGCAAATAGAAGGGGGAAAAGTGGAAGCAGTGACAGATTTTACTTTCTTGGCTCCAAAATCACTGGGGATGGTGAATGCAGTCATGAAATTCAAAGACGCTTGACCCTGGAAGGAAAGCTATGATGAACCTAGACAGCATATTAGAGACTTCAGTTTGCCAACAAAGGTCCATATAGTCAAAGCCATTTTTTCCAGTAGTCATGTACGGATATGAGAGTTGGACCATAAAGAAGACTGAGTGCTGAAAAATTGATGCTTTTGAATTGTGATGATGGGAAAGAGTCTTGAGAGTCCCTTGGACTTCAAGAGATCAAACCAGTCAATGCTAAAAGAAGTCAACCCTGAATATTCATTGGAAGGACTGATGCTAAAGCTCCAGTACCTTGGCCACCTGATGCACAGAGCCAGCTCATTGAAAAAGATGCTGATGTGGGGAAAGATTGAAGGCAAATGGAGAAGGGTGCAGCAGAGCATGAGATGGTTAGATAGCATCACTGACTCAGTGGACATGAATTCATGCAAACTATGGGAGATATTGGAGAACCAAGGAGCCTGATGTGTTACAGTCCCCGAGGTCCCTAAGTCGGACAGGAGTTAGCAACTGAACAACAAGTGCTTAGAACATTCTCAGATCCCCTCCCCCATTCCTCACTGCCACTCACCTCATCTCACCTCATCCCATATTCTGGCTACTTATAATTTCTTTTTGTAAGAACAAATTTATTTGTCAGTTCCTCTATCTACCCTCTCACCTCTGGACCTTGAACTTAGGCCAGGATTATACTTTGTTCACCAATATATTCCCCATGCCTTCCAGGGCATCCTACTAAGCACTCAAAAGTGTTTGTCAAATG